CTGCGTTTGGATACAGCACTTGTCGCAGGGCTGATGGTTTAAAAAGCATTCAAATTATGCTCATCAATCATCTAAGCCTTGTCAAAGGTTTAATGAAATGCGCATTCATCGTCATGATCCACGTTTGCGGAGCCTCCACGAATACGTTCATTGCAGCCGATCTTATGCATACATGTGATGAAAGTGGTCAGCCGGATACCAACTACCAACCAACATGAACCAGCTACTTGGGCGCCGCTAGTGTAGTGGTTAACGCGTCTGCGTTAACCACGGTGCGTCTGAAGAATCCGAGGTACGGGGCTCGATTCCCTGTGGTCCACATCCCTACTCCCAGGGTGAGAGGCAGGCGACGCCATGTAGCCTCAGCAAATGAGTGTGTTGTAAAGGCCCAATGACACGTACACACACTCAAACAGCTACTCGTATTGGAGATCGGGTGCGTACACCATGAGACCGAATCGCCGCAGGCTTTCAGTTGTTCTCGGGATACACTCATCCCCGCGCTTCTTAAGAGTGCATTTATCATTATGCCCGGCCGAGTTTCAAAGGCCCTGCTTGATGACGAAGCTACTAAATCACAAGCAATTTGACACGTGTCTTAATAGAAGGGCCTAGATTACAATCAACAAAAAGTCAATCGGAATCCTTCACTATTCAAAAAAAAACATAATGGAAATCCTGGCAAGGCCGAGCATGATCCATGAGACCCTTCTTATCAAAAGTGAAAGGCCATGTCACCCAAACCACGACATTAATCATTAATTATTCCGATAACTTTTGCTTACATCCGTTTAAAAGCGATAAGCTCGGAAGCTATTCTCCGCTGGTGAGACAGAACATTGCAAGCTGTGAGGCCCACGCGTAAGTATGTTCCAAATCTGAGCATTCGTGTCTGTGGCGAAACAAAATAATCCAAGGAGGCCTGAAGTGACAACAGGTCATCACGAGCGAGGCTTCAGGACGAGCAAATCTTACTTGAGCTGACGCATGGTAAAGGGTTTGACAGGGGATCTGATGAAAATTCTGACGGGGGAGGAAACGGGCCATCGCACTGGGTTAAGTGTGCTTCGCATGTGTAGACGGCCATACGCTCTCATGGGCAAACAATTAGTCCAAACGTTTTGGATGTTTTTAAGGACTGGTGTCAGGTACTCATGACTATACCTCTTGGAGCCCAAAACAGGCTGCGAGATGCAGGCAAATGCACCGACTGTGACTCAAAAGCATCTCTCAAACCTGGTCGATCCATACGCACATCAGTGATCGGCATGACAGCGACTAATGCCACTTTTTCCGAAACCCGCCTGAAATTCAATACCCTGTGCCCTAAATCGAAGGCCTGGGGTTACAACAACATTACACTGACGTGGAAAACGTGCAACATCAAACCAGAATGTTTGCGTTCTATCCAATACGTTGGTAACAATGTCCAAAACCGTAAATGATTGCTGTCATCGATTTCACCGACTCAAATTCTTTTAGTTAAATCGTTGTTCTCTTGTCTTTTTCCGGTACTTTACTCCAAACAGGGGCGGCAACACTGTGAGGACGTGAGAGACGCTTCTCGATCTCAGATGGACCCGACATTTTCGAACGCCTTTACACGCGTAGTGGAGTGAGTAATGGTAGAACATCTGAGCGCTGAGCGTACCTGATACGAGCCTTCCACACACCGTGAGAATAGCAAACAGAAAACACTTGCGCGAGCCCGCTCAAAAGAAAGCTCCTTGTGCTGCAAAGGCGAGGATTGATCACTGCGCCGGCGGGGATTGTGTTGCGGGGATGGATTATTGCGCCGGCGGGGACCGTGTTGCGAGGATTGACTGTTGCGCAAGCGGATATTGTGTTGCAAAGCTCGGCTATCGCGAGGTTCATTTCAGTCACCCTTTTCGCCTTCTTGCCAGACGCCTTTCCCATACTTCTATGCAATTGTCCCGCAGGGGTATAATTTCTTATAATTGCGGACGTCATGCCTGCCGAGCATTGTGAGCTGGGCACACCAACATCGCACTGGACCCCGAAAGCTTGAATTTGGCCTTCAGTACTCTACTAACTTGTTTGGCATCAAAAACTTAAAATCATGCAATACCACTAATTTCAGTTTGAATGTGACGTGTGGTGAGGTAGCCGGTAGGCAGGAATGAAGTTATCGTCAATCACTTTTGCAAGTGTGTATATCATACGACTGGACCTGCAAACCTGGACCTGGACCTGTGCTTTGATCACCTTTGAAAGCGTGCGTACTTGGCAACTGGACCTACGAACCTTGACCTGGACCTGTAACATTAACAATCCACCAATCCATCAGGTTATGCGCAATAGTTTCCATCACTGCAGCGTGATATTGCAAATTTTTGTAGCCAACTCGACTCCGCTTGAAATAGAGTAATGCTATCATGATAATGCAGTATGCCTCTAAAATAGAATGAATCGTTTAAAACTCCCTGGCTTCCTGTCGTTTATCGTAGCCGCATGTTCACCGAAGCATTAAAACATACACCGTCTGTAAACCGTCGCATATAGCAATGCTGCTACAACACTAGAACACAGCACCAGCATAGACAGTTGTGCTTGTTTGCACCGCCAGCTAAAAATAATTATAGCTGAGCGAATAAACGACGTAGTAATGCTTCTACAGTTATGGCCATAATACACGAAAACGGTGATGTCACCCATTAATAACCCCGCCCCCGTACCTACAGTTAAAAAAATGCGCCGTCACTCAAGCATTGCACAAAACTTTCGCATAATTCTTACCCAAAAAGCAAAAAGAATGTCTAATTAACGCAGTCCGTGAATTCATACATATTGCACAACCGGACCTAAGCTGAATTGACACTGGATTTACTGACACACACCACCTGACACTTCACGTATCAGATCCAAGGCGGTCGGACGCATCAGGGACGAGCAAGCCAGGGATTATCCCACGTTGAGCTGCAGTAAATCGAGGGCAACCTTGCAGGTCCTGTCGGCCATTTCCAGCAATAAATCCTGTTTATTGCACCGATGGCCCTATACGGCGCTGACCCTCACCATGGTCACGCCGCTCTTCTGAAGCTAGCCGATAAGTGGTGCTTCACAGCTTTGCACCCCGCCAAATCTCCGGTGGCCCCAGCATAGAGAATTGCGCATGCATATCCCCACTTCGTGCTACGGGTTTCGCACGATGTTTTTTGTAGCAAATATACCAGTTGGTGTTAGGATGTGTTTGCGGTTATGCGTTTCTTATTGTCTTGAGCATGGCTGTTCCTGAAACTGAAGGAGTCGCGAGTGCTTGATTAGAATGCATCTGCATCATGCTATTGGGTTACCGTACTTGGAAAATGGTCTCGCACGACCTTTAACAAACCCGACATTATTGGCTCTTTTAGGAACATGTGTAGTAATCGGCTCAGATTCGCCCGAAACCGTGATACTGTTAACATCACGGATATTTTTACTTTTGCCGCGGGCAGCTGTCGAAAAATATAAACAACGAATCAATTTTCCGATACCGCTATGAGGCATAAGGTAGGCTTCTTCAATATAGGAAATGATCAATGTTTGACAGCCTTACCTCAACCAAATGCATTGCGGCGTGGTAAATAATTTGTATTATGTTTTGTAAATGTAAATCAAAAGCAGTTAAGATGAAGCGTAAAATCACGATAGGGAAACTATGAACGGCATAATATCCAGGGGATGCGCCCCGATCTTGTGAACGAACAAGACCCAACGGAACACCTTCGCTGTAGTTACGCTCTTGGTCCGGCAAGAGCCACGTAAGACTCAAAACAAAAGCGATTATCAGGAGGACCACTGCCAGGATAACTATCTGCGTGTAAAATGTATATAATGCTTGCTAGCAACGTCACGGTTGCACATTTCATGTTAATTACAACCCGCTATCGGATAACGCGTATGTTGCTATTATCTCCCCATCATCCTAGCCCGCTGTCGGATCCGCAAAGCGAAACTGTCTTTCTTCTTGCAGTGGAATACTTATACTTGTGCGCCTTGATGCATTATTTCCTAATCATTTTCACGGCACTAGCAAGCGTTCTCCGAAATTCGATGTAAGATCCGTCCATGACGCAGTCTAGATCCTACCCTGGGCGTCATGATGCAGCCCAGACCCGTGCATGATGCAGCCTAGACCCGTACATGACGCAGCCTAGATCCTACCCTGGGCGTCATGACGCAGCCTAGACCCGTACATGATGCAGCCTAGACCAGTAACCCGGACGCTATGACGCAGCCTAGACCCGTACCCCGGGTGCCATGACGCACCGTAGACCCGTGACCCGGACGCCATGACGCAGCCTAGACCCTTACCCCGGGCGCAATGATGCAGCCTAGACCCGTACTCGGTTGCCATGACCCACCGCAGACCCGTACCCCAGGTGCCATGACGCACCGTAGATCAGTAACCCGGACGCCATTACGCGGCCTAGACCCTGACCCCGGGCGTAATGACGCAGCCTAGATCCGTACCCCGGGTGCCATGATGCACCGTAGACCCGTAACCCGGACGCCATGACGCAGCCTAGGTCCTACCCCGGGAGTGACGAGGCTGGTGCGGCCGCCGGCAATCTCGTCTCCTGTGCTTCTTTTTCGAGCAGCGCGGAGCTTCATCACGACAATCTGCGGAGGCGTCGCCCGTTAGTTCAGCGAAGCGAGGATCGCACCATCTCGAGATCCCGTTCTCTGTCTGCATGGATTGTTTTGTGACACACCTCGATGATAAAGTATGAGGGCTAGCCACAAGTCGCTAAAACTGGTGGGTCTCAGGTAGTTCGTGGAACGCATGAGCTGTAAACTGAGTACGGTCAGCGGTGGTTACCGCATGTGGGATGTCACATCGAGTGAAGGAGGATTTCGAACTGGCAAACATGGCGGAGCCTGGCAGGCCTTGCACGCGTGGAATGTCTAGAAATTTGCAGCACCGGTCGACAGCTATGATGTCACCACGGCAACCATGATGGCGCATGTCACACACGCTAAAAATCCGTACCCTTGCTACGGCCTCTCGCCAGTTGCGCTGCAAAGCAGGTGAAAAGAACACCCGGTGTAACCAAAGGTAGGTATATTTCATGCAGAGGCTTAATCGCCGACTAAGCTGTTAGCAGCCAGCGACGGGTGTTAATAGGCGTTAGCATGTTCATACGCACCTTCAGCTTGAGGAAATCAGCGTTTTTATGCAAGGTGGATTACTGTCAGCAGAGCTTCCATCTCACAGTGTCGAATATTGAGCAATTTCATACATCAGTGTGTTAGCCTTGGTTTCTTCTTTTTTGACATCAAGCTTTCTGGCTAGAAAAAAATCGCTCAAATCCCCCATTACAGAAGAACCACTGTTCCCGGATGGTAACACCAAGTGGCGCTGTAGCGGAAAACCAAGCATGGCAAGCAAGAAAACCAAGCAAGGAAAACCAAGCATGGTTAGTTTGATAGTCACGATATTTTTTTGCCAAAAAACGCTGAAAATCTATGAATTTCTCCTCCTTGCAAATGTAACTGTTCCATCCCGTTGGCTGCGCCATGTTCCGTTCTTGGCTTCCTTGCCATTGTGGCCACGCGGCTCGACCGCGCTTCGCAAACGACTGATAAGAACTGTACCGTTACGCATCGCACTGCCGACTCCTCGCGTGGCTACCCTGTCAATGAAGGTTGGTGGCTGTCGTGGTACGCTAGCCAGCCAAGTGTTTGTGCACAAGACATCCCGCAGCTGAATTGAAGTGGCGTTCACAATACACATCGCAATTTCCCACACCGCTGACAGTGGGAGCACTGAAACACAGCTGGTAGAAGTTTCCATCCCGTGCCTCCACCGAAGGCAGCCATTCCATCACCGAGTTACCATGGTTCCAACTGGATTGTCCCGTATGGCAGCCGGCCCACTCTACCGTGCGCAAGGCATGATTGATTATGGACGCCACGTAACGGACAACTGACTGCTTTGTTTACGGCTCAAGGCTGACTCTTGCTGCTTTGATTACTGGTTGTGCAATTCAAATCAGTTTAAGATAGCTTTCTGAGAAGGGCACTTGCACCAGGCTTACGACTGAGTTCTGCCTGTCTCAGACTCGTGCTTTTTTAGACTTAGACCGACTGAACCGATTTACAATAACCTTCGAACTTGCAATTAATTCCACTCGGAAATCGGGCGCACGACACGGACACAGACACAGAAGCAGGCATAGGCATGCACACGTGCACGTACACGTACACGTAAACGTACATGCACACGCACACGCACACGCACACGCACACGCACACGCACACGCACACGCACACGCACACGCACACGCACACGCACACGCACACGCACACGCACTCACACGCACACAGCAACAGGCACGGACACAGACACGGACACGGACACGAACACGGACACGGACGCGGACACGGCCACGGCCACGAACACGCACATAGGAACGGACACGGACACGGACACGGAAATGGCCCTGATACGGGCCTGGACTCGGGTCTAGTATCCGAAATGGAACCAAAGATTCTTGAGGTCTGGGATACGGATTAAGCTTTTGATTCCCATCTCACCTTCCCAGCTTTAACCGGAATTAAAGAGTGCATTTTATTTGAAAAGAACATTTCTGACACAGATATTCTGGTGTGGAGCACGTTGAAATGTATTTCTTCTACCCTAAGAGTTGTCTGGCTGGGTGGTTCGGGTTTGCTTTGGATGACTACCATTATTTATTAATTAGACAACGAATATGCCCGACTGAGTTGAATGTTGCCCTATGGCATGGTCTCATAGGCATGGTGTTTTTAGCTGAGAAGTGCGCTTTTCTGGAAAGTTTGACCATTTCTTGCAAAGTTTGACCTGGAAAATTTTCCGCTGCCATGATGGGGTCAGTTATTAAGCCAACAATATGACAACTGGTACCAAGATTCTCTTCGAAACTAATCCATTGGTGGTTTTCGCCAACCTCTATCTTTATTTGTTTGGGAACACCAGGGTTTGCATCAACCCCCCCCCCCCCTCCTTATCAGTCCACGTTACGAAAAACGGCGTATCAGTTCGATGGGTAGGATTAATCTAAAATATCAGAATTCCCGCTGCCATCTTTTCTTGAATGGGAGTATGCATCTTTTTTGCTTTTCAGTTATTGTTGGATCAGACACGTACGAATTGTTCAGCAATACCATTTTTTCGAAATCCTTCTCAAAAGCTCAAAATTTTTATTTGAGGTAGCCGTTTCCGCGGTAGAAATCCCAATGGAGCCCCTGCTCACTAGTATGAAATCAATATATCAAATTTGTCTTGCTTTATCCAGCGTGTGTGTTTTGTGATGCTCGCAATGTTGTAATTTGTCAAAATAGTTGTGAAGTAAATGCTACGAAACTTTGCAAAATTCTGTTAGATAAAAATATATCCGAACAGGAAGCCATTACCCTGCGAGTTCCACGAAACCTTATGCTATGGCTTTGATTTCAACCCTATGCCTTTTATCACAGAAGCCCCTTTCGAAGCACACTTGGTTTTGGGAATGGGAGTATCGCATGGTCCAAAGTGACGCACTAGTTCAAACTTCAACCGAAGTTCAAACCTCAAACCAAACTTCAGCCGGTAACAGGCCATTGCCGCCCGCTGACTCAATCCCAAACTGACCTAATTCAACCCACTTATTTTATGCTCACCACTAGAGATGCCAAAGCGGTTGTCATGACGACGGTGGTCACGACAGCAGAGAAGCCGTGTAGTGCTGTTATAGAACGCTCAGAGCGCAGTTTGGCCTAAAACTTGATTGCAAATGGTATCCTTTTTGCGTATTGGCTGTGGTGCAGTGGCACTACCCAGTGCTATTCTCAGATGTGACTTGTTTACAGGCTTTGTCAGAATCTTTTTTTGAAATATGCCCCCAAGGTGGGAAATTCTCTCTAATGATAGCTTCAAGTTACCCTCGACAGTCCGAAAAAAAATGTCCTTCGCACCATGCGATCACGAGAAAAAAGCTGATGTAACTAGACCCAATAATTCGGAATTTAGGCACCATGCGGGCTAGGACCTCGTCTGGAAGGAACCGGACTCGGCCCCGAACCCAGACTCGACTTTCAAGGGGTTTGCCGAGACTCGGAATCCTGACCCATGTAAATCAATAGGCTCTGATTCAACTTACGCGAAGCATCCATGGTAAATTCGGGATCGCTCGCAGGCTAGACAGCTGACTTGGACTCCGAATCGAACTCGCTTCTTAGACTCAGGCCCATTCGTGCTATGTAACATGATTTTTTTAGAACATTGTGACATAGCATGCACCTAGTATCATCTCCTGACACTTTGGTTGCATGCTTCATACATGAAGTCTACATGGCATTTGGTGCCATTATGTTGATCTATTGGTGTTTCCAAATCACCATCCGCAGTTGCTTTATCGGCGGTGATGGTTTGCGGTTCATCTTGTGAATACATTGGGTAGTTAAGCATGTCAATTCTCAGTACCATTGTTTCTTTGAAATGCTCATCAATGCTACCGCATTCCATCCTTTAAATTTGACGCCAGCGGATCTCCCAGATCGATTTTTTTCCAAGGGCCGTGAGTGCGCGCATATTACTGGCGGCCATTGACGAAAAAGGAAGTCATATATCCGTAATCCTAATGACTAAGCCTTTATGAAATAAGTGTTTTTCATCCTCACTAACCGTTGGCCGTTGTGCAGCAAACTGTTTTCCAATATACTGAAGATAGTAGGGCCTACCTAAATAATATCAAAAAGTTCTTCAAAACATTGTGCACAGAATGAGGCTTCCAGCCAGAAAGCAGATTTTGTTTCCATGCAACCTTTAGTGTCAGATGCGGTATAAAGAATGCATTACGCTGTCCCGTTTGCTTACAATATCTTCTGCGATTACGCTTGAGTAAATATTGATCCTTTTACATTCACGGGTGCTTTTTTCCCGGGCAGTCTAATGAATGGCAAATAAATATAATTTAATGCCTGGCCTTTACAATAGGCAGCTGGTCGATTGTCGCTTGGTGCCTCTTTGTCACGGTGCTGTTATGGCGGCGTTCCAAAAGGTCATTTGTTATGGTGGCCTTTGCTAATGGTGAATGAAACCTGCAACGCGCCAGATACATATTTAAAGAGTCATGGGTCATGGGAGCAGATTCATGCTGAATCTACTTGTTTCCGAGCGTCAAAATCACGTTCACCATCTACCAAGAACCTGGCTCCATGTCAGGAAAAAACCAACACGAAATGCTGAAAATTTCAGCTTTATTGCCATTACCACGATGTGGCCGACGGCAACGGGCATCCTTGGAGCGGAGCCGGGCCAATCTCCAACGTGCGCGCGTCATCCACATTTCAGTCTCGCGCAGTGAGTAGTGCCGGCAGGGTGTCTGGCAAGCGCGGTCAAGTCCCTGTGAATGCCTGCCCCACCGCTTCGAGCGCTCGGAGACAAAGCCCCGATGCCACGCCGCTCGAGACCCTCACAGAGTCCATGAATAGTAATTAACGGTGACGCGTTCAGTGCATACATGATTAGTCAAGTGGATGCTTGCGTTCACGGGCTTCATAGGAAATTCGGCAGCGAGCCCCTAATGCGAGCTTGGACACGGCACGGCGAAACCGGAGCGAAGGGCACACTCCACGTCAACCGCCCCACTCAGCGTCTGATTAGCGCTAGGTTAGGCGTTCCCAGTTTTGCATTAGTCATGTCGCAGAGCACACCGCTGTTAAAATGCACCATTGCTGCCTTTTCTCATCAGCACATTGGCTAATAATTGTATATTGGTAGCCATTTGGACCAGAGGCCGGGCAAGCAGTTTTGATTGGGAGGCACCCCGGTCCATGTGGGGGAGGGGGGAGGGAGGTGGCGTCCATTTCACTTCAGGGGCACGAACCCTACATCAAAAGTCAGGTTTTGGTTATCCAGTTTCATGAACTCGATGAAAACAAATTTATAGATCTGTACACTTGGCCAATAAGTCTGCACGTAACAGAAATTACAGTATCTCACGAACATGCAAACCATTCCTCACGGTCGAAATGTGCAGTATGGGCTCGCATGGTTGGCATTACAAGATTGTCGTGAAATTACAACACCCGAACCCCTTTTGGTTTCACTTTTGGGCCCAACGTTGGAATTGGAATGTCCTGAGCGTAGCTAACGCAGTTGCTTTCAAACATCGTGGGTGCCACTTCAACACATCAGGGTCACCCAAGACCCCATAGGGCCTTGATGCCCTTTTATTCTTAAGGACGTCTTTACCGTCCTCATGGTGTCTAAAAATCTCAGGAATGTCGGTTTGCTACCACAGGACGCGTCTCAGAAAGATTGGGGTAAAACTGTACAAGGGTCCCTTTTAGCCCAATGGGCCATTTTTACCTATGGTGAGAAGTTTACCGGTGCCTTGCCGATCCATTCCACCCCTGGGCTTTTTGTAGAACCCAGGGTCACCCTCTCATCACTTGGGACCACCCATGCAGCATTTGGGCCGTCGTTCTGGTCATAAGGCAGCCTCCCGATAGGCATCAGGATACATTTGCATATATTGGAGACACCGTTGGAACCCCCCTCCCCCTCAACATGCGTTTCCAGACGTCAGAATTTGTCCATGGGCCATTGGAAGCGTCACTCCTCGTTTGGAAACACCCAGACTTCTTGGCTCATCCTTCAAGCCAGCGAGGCATGGGTTTAACACACGCGGACGTCTTTGGTGTTATCAGGGGCGTCACTCCATGGTGTAGAATATGCTATCCTTTAGAGCGTTCTGCTAAAGTCGGGCTTACTTTCAGACGACTTGCACGCCCGCTTGGACATGGGGCGCCACATCAGCCTTTGGTACGTCCTTTGATTTTTATTAGAGCGTCTTAGACCTAGTCCTGGGTTACATATTTTGGGCGTCAACTGTGCCCTTTGAGCCTCATAGTGGTTCACCATGGCTTGAGGTAACCATTTTATTCAAATTCTCAAATCACGTGGGTGTCCCTCACCCCTCGTAGGCTTCTTCCCCCATCCCCCAAGATGTGGGACACCTTTGGATCTTCGTAACCATTAAGCGCCCTACCCGTTCCGGTTCGTGCCAAACCCTTTGAAGATCCCCACTCACAACGCTGTTCACGTCGGACGATAACATCCTCAACCGCCGTGCCCAGGTTCGTGACTTTGGAGTTAGGACTTGAGGCTCGCTTTTGCCAGCTATGTGGACGTGACAGTTTCAAGGTTGAGACAAATGCTGAGTCTACATTTCCGCAGCTTATGAATGCCCACCTGCCCACTGCGCGCAAGCCACAGTCATAAAGCCATTCTCAGCATGCTTCACGGGCATGTTCTCGCGCTCATTGAATATGGCAGCGAAGTCTAGTTTCAGACTGTCCAAACTCACCGCGGGCGGAGCGAGATTATCCAGCGCAAGTTCTTTGCCTGGTTTGCCTGCTTCTTAGACAGCTCACCTGTAAGTTTGGACTTTGTTTCAGCACCCACAAAGCGCTTTAAAGTTTCCTGTATAAACCACGCTTTCAACAACCTGATCGCATGTTCTTTTCTCCTTCCATTCAAACACGCCAACGAGCAATAACAAGAATCCTGCTTTCTGTCACATTCCCCTTACTCGAGTCAACACTATTCACAACGCTTTTTCACCGCCTTCCAGCTCTATGCATCCGTTTCCTTCGCTGTTGTCCAAGCGTTGGCTTTTTCAGTGTTCCAGCTCCTCCCCATAAATCCGCTGCAGAACGGTCCGTCGGTTTGACTGGTACTTTTTAGCCCTGTCCTCTACAATCTCCCTCAGAAACACGTGTAGGATCTGTTATTGTTCGTGACAGTCGTCGCTTACGTGCTACATCCGCCGCACTTTCTTGGATTGTACGCTGCGTGCGGCTTGCGCTTTGTAACAGGACTTCGCTGTAGCTGGATGCTGTATGGGTGATGATGTATTCACATAAACATGAGGTCCTCCAGTGAGGAAAGAGCTTGCTCTAACCAGTGAGAGTGATTCTTGGTTCTAGAATCAAATAATTTAGTAGGGGTAACCTGGTTCTGACTCTGGGCTTCTATCTTGTGTGACTCATCTAATTACACCATGCTGAGTTCATTCTTTGTTATCTTCAGGGCGTATCGTTTGTACGTGTGTGTGACACTAAAACGTTATCAGGTATTGATAATTGTGCATCAAAACATGTATATCAACTTGCATGACTTGATATAAAAGTCATTTGGCACCAGCCTGTAGATGGTGACAACTAGGGAAGGTCACAAGCGCAACAAGACTATGACGAAAATAATTTGACTTTTTACATGCCATCCTAAGGCCGTGTCATTTGACACCGGTGAGTCCCACCGCCGCGCGACGTGCTGACTAATCAGCATGCTGTAAGTACACGCTGACTGGGGTGCAGTCGTCCCGATTTAACAGTGTGCAGTAAGTGCACGCTGACTGAAGTGCAGTCGTCCCAACAAACTAGTATGCATGAAGTGCACGCAGACTGGGGTGCAGTTGTGCCGACTAACCAGCGTGCAGTGAGGGCACGCTGACTGGAGTGCAGTCGTGCCGACCAACCAGCCTGCAGTAAGTGCACGCTAACTGGGGTGCAGTTGTGCCGACTAACCAGCGTGCAGTGAGAGCACGCTGACTGGAGTGCAGTCGTGCTGACCAACCAGCGTGCAGTAAGTGCACGCTGACTGGGGTGCAGTTGTGCCGACTAACCAGCGTGCAGTGAGAGCACGCTGACTTGGGTGCAGTCGTCCCGGCTAACCAGTGTGCAGTAAGTGCACGCTGACTGGGGTGCAGTTGTGCCGACCAACCAGCGTGCAGTGGGAGCACGCTGACTGGAGTGCAGATGTGCCAACCAACCAGTGTGCAGTAGGTGCACGTTGACTGGAGTGCGGTTGTGCCGACTAACCAGCATGCACTAACTGCACGCTGACTGAAGTGCAGTTGTACCGACCAAGCAGCGTGCAGTGAGTGCACGCTGACTGAAGTGTAGTTGTACCGAACAACCAGCGTGCAGTAAGTACACGCTGACTGGAGTGCGGTTCCTTCAACACGTCATCCGGCGCAACCAATCTTGGAAATAAGTGTCGTGCTCGGTTTTGGGGGTATTCTGCAGCCGTCTTTAACTCATTGTCATATCTTTTCCGCAACGCTTCCTCTCAAAATGTCAGGATCCAACATCCAACATGATCTGGAGAAAATGAACGCGCTCAACATATCTATCACGTACCACGTCTAGCCTTCTAGGACTGCTCACAGAAAGATGACTTTCCGGGTAAAAAGTAACACACATAAGAATCTTGTTTTTTGGACTTTGCCGAAATTCAAGGAAGTCCACAAAGTTGCATGTCCCTCCCCTCTCTTGACGAAACCGTGGGTCCACCCCTTCCCGTAGAAGCCAAAGGCGACCGGCAGAACCAGGACCGGCAACCTCAGACACACCGGCGTCGGCGACCGCAGTTCTGTCACCATGACCAGTCACCCCGACGGACGAAAATATGGCTTGTGTCGGTTTGTCTCTTTGTTCTGACTGCGACGGACCGCATTGTCCAGCCACGCCGATCGTGCTTGATGTTGTTCATCTTCCAGGCGTGAAAATGTGAAGCTCATGCCAAGCAGCCGAACTCTGGACCTTTGGAGTTGCCTCTGAATGTTTCACCGCGTCCGTGCAGGCGCCAGGCGCCCTTTTTCAGCACCTTGTTGATGGTGATGATGTTTATGTTCATGATGGTCTTCGCTATATGTTGTTCCGCATGAGCGTGTTTACGTTTCATGTTATGCATAGTATTCGTTGCTAGTGCAGATGATATTGTAAAATGAATAATATCATCTGACCACCCACCCGCAACGCGGTAGTTAGATGCGTCGGTGGTTAGATGCAAGGGTGCTGCGTCACAAGACGGCTCTTCGCGGGCGAAGCATGGAGATGAAGCAACTCACGCATTCACTATCCCGATTATCGTCATCATCACCACCATGGCATTTATTTAACGTCCTGCCAGACTGCCTACAATGGAAAAAGATTCAACTATGTACATGCATATTACATACATTCCATATTCGTCTGGGTCGGTTCTTGTCAAGAACCATCTGAGAGACTAAGTCGCACCACACTGGGGCCGCACTGGGGAAAGGCGGCAGCTGTCCATCCTGCCGCGGGCCAAAGGTAGAAATTCGAACAATCATGTTAGTATTGTTGACATGTCACATCTGGTGGGATTTGTTGACGTGTTTGCCTTGTTTTTCTTGGCATCCTTTCTTCTTCAGTGGGCTCATATAAACATGAATCCAAAAAATGGGTGCGATTTGAGTGGGGCTTAATTGTCTTCCATTTCCACGGTGTAGAGTTATAGTTCAACCCGTTCAGCCGTTTTCTTTTTGCGCTCTTGGGGGATCAAAAGCGAGTACCCAAAGTTGATGAGCATTGTGCTGTTGATTAGTGTGCTGCTAATGTGTCCTGGACAACATCCTCATTAGTCAAGCTAAGCTATCTCCTCTGTAAATTAAACATTGTTCAATAAATCGATGGATAAGGAAAATGAGTAACAAACACAAGGAACTACCCTCTGTGAATAGATAAATTCTTACTGACAGTGCAAGGTCAGTGAACGCCACCTTGCTACTTTCCCGATAAGAAGCACCCACGGGAGACGGCACTACTGCATCCATATCTGTTCCCAGGATGACTTTTCGGAAACGGCGGCATTCCTAGCTGACAGGCTGTCAGACTGTCGGATCGGTGGGACGAGCCTCCGCTGGATGGATGGGAAATGCCAGTCAGCAGACTGGGGCCTTGTGTCACACACGGTGCGGTGCCGCAGCCAGCCTGCAGAGCGTCAGATAGAGTAAACCTGACGGATTATTGAGATCAACGCCCGGTACAAAAAAACATTGTCTCTGACGCGTCATCTCCTAAACATCAATGACGGCATTGAGGGCAGCCTGTGAACAACATACGTGTACTTGTCGCTAGTTACTTTTCCAGACACCTTGGTTCTCACCTACATACATGTAGCTGTTACACCTATGTCCACATCACGGCTGGAAGAGCGTCAAAAAGGGCGTCTGGGCGAAAAAAGGACGGAAGCGCGTCGATCATGTGCGTGCAAAAGTGCGTGAAAATGAAAGTGAATCTAACCTATATCTATGTAAATCGTGGTTTTTACAACCATGTGACAGCGGTTACGTTCCCGAACAAGCACATCGGGCTGCTCATCAGAAAAGCTGCTGTGTTGAACAAGACTGGAACATCATTCGAAGAACTCCTACGATGTAGGACATTTACATATTTGTACTGGCAGATGAGTCCATGGGTTACGAGAAATCATCGACAAGACGCATTTCGCAATTTCACTGCAATGCGCGCAGCATTGCTCATCATTGATCGTGTGTAAACGGTCAGTAGCTACATCACTGTGGCTGTTGGAGCGCAATATAGAGTACGTTGGTCGGTCTGACTTTTTCGTCTTGGGTGGCAGCTCAGACCAATAGTATATTTTTCCAGTAAAGCGCCATCATTCGAGAACTAAACAATCAGCTAATCAGCGAGTCACGACGCGAAAGCAGGGAGCCGGACTCTTGACCTGACATGGGAAGTGCGAGCACTGAATTCACGCAGGGGTCGGGCTTTACCCAACGGGGCGATGCGAATTTGGATAGAGACTACGATATTGATACCAGAGGCAGTGTGCGTTCGTCAATGCGACTAGGCCTACTGCTACTTGACGCAGAGCGGTAAACACTAGCATCACCGTTTCCTCGTCTTAGTGTGCGTGTGATTTGTTAACACTTACAAGCCGCACACTTTCACATGAAGCAGCGTCTGCTGAGAAAATCACAGCCTCGTAAGATCACCATCATTTTCAGTTGATCACAGACGACAGAACTGCGCTAGTCCTGGTGTGATTAGCACGCAAAGCAAACCCCCGACCACGTAGTGCGCTGTGCTCGGAAAATATTAAGGAAATTATATGGAAAATATATCCTTATCACCCTAAAATTTTTACACAGGACATAATTTGGAACCAAATCTAAAATGCATGGATTATTGGATGAATAGAGGCAAAACCCATCGTTTGCCGTCGAGACTATCAATTATTATCCGGATTGTTTCCCCCGGAAGCGGGTTGGTTCATCGTTATACGTCAGTACGTCATTTTACGTTTCCGCATTTGCTTCCATCAGACCGAATCATTCAGTTCAGCACAGGTGAAGGGACGAACGAGTGCATGATGAAATAAAACCGCCTCATGAGTAAGTTTTTACGGCTAATTAGGCGCCCATGACGATAAACAATGGACTTAGCTTCTGCTTATCCTTTTTCCGTGCAGATTTAGTACCAAATCAGGTCCCTGTCTAATGATGTTAGCGTGATAAGGGCTTACACCATGATTTTGAGTCTGAAGTGAATCTCAGCCGGCTGGCTAACGTGGTGTGCAATCTGGCGGAGGGTTGTCACATACGGCTCTAATAGTCGTTCCCTTTCGCCTCCACCCGCCGTATGTGTACTTTGGGCTAATGAAGGCATAGGAAGCCGCCTGTCTCCAGCGTCAGCGATTCGGCTACACGTGAATTCGTCTGACGCCGAAAGAAACCTGGAGAAAACGTCTATCCAGCTCTGCCCAGTCGTTTGACGGTAGGTTTCCATTTCACGCATCTATCGCCTTCAGATACGTTCCTGCAAATTTTGCTTTTGTTCTCCTGACTTCCATCCCGACGGATACAAAGAACGAGCTTCCAGGCCACCATGAAGGGCGCAATGATACACTCGGGAGCCGGACAGACGACCGGACGAGAGACGTACAGACACCGAACCCGAAAAAGTGTACATACAGGCACCGGACCCGGCGGGTGGACATACAGACACCGAACCTGGTAAGTAGACACACAGGCACCGAACCCCGCAAGTGTCCATACAGATACCGAACCCGTAAGTGTCCAGACACCGAACCCGGCAAGTGTGCATACAGACACCGAACCCGACAAGTGGACATACAGACACCGAACTCGGCAAGTGCCCATACAGACACCGAACCCGGCAAGTGTACATGCAGACACCGAACCCGGCAAGTGTACATGCAGACACCGAACCCGACAGGTGGACATACGGGCACCAAGCCCTGCAAGTGGACACACAGACACCGAACCCCGCAAGTGTACATGCAGACACCGAATCCGGCAAGTGTAAATACAGACACCAAACCCGGTAAGTGTGGATACAGACACTGAACCCGGCAAGTGGACATACAGACACCGAACCCGGTAAGTGGACATGCAGACACCGATCCGGCAAGTGGACATACAATCACCGAACCCGGCAGGTGTGCATACAGACACCGAACCCGGCAGGTGTACATGCAGACAACGAACCCGGCAAGTGTCCATACAGTCACTGAACCCGGCAGGTATGCATACAGACACCGAACCCGGCAAGTGTACATACAGACACCGAACCCGGAAAGTGTGCATACAGACACCGAACCCGGCAGGTGTACATGATATCGGAGCGATGAACATCACTCGCTCATCATCTGGTGGCGTTCCATTACACATTACAACGTTCTTGTTCGCTGGCGATGCCGTTAGTCCGCGATCAGATGTTTACTTCGAGCGTAAGTATGTTACCACAAGTCGACGAGGCCCGGTTGACATGACAAAGTAACAGGTTGTCAGCATGTATCCGTGGAGTTCACAGACAAGGTAACAGGGCATCAGCATGTCTCCGCGGATGCCACGGACATGACGGGCTGACAGCGTCCTCCGGAACGACCACGTCCGTCCACAGACCTCGTGGCCGTTTGCCTGGCCTCAGCTGCAACGACGATGACTCGCATCTCCAGGCAGTCTCAGACCTTGGCTTCCTTTACCTTGGTGGCGGTCGCCAAGATGCCGCCGGTCGACAAGTCTCGTGATTTGTCATGCCGTCGTGATGAGACGATGCTGAGTCGCGCCTGAGACCCGCGAAGGCTCGCTGTTTGCCGTGGGCCGTTGCAGGCTGGCACGCGGATGTGAAGAAGTGTGTGTGCCTCTCGCGCCGCCCTGAAGCCCAAAGGCGGCGTTCCTGAGGCATGGCAGGCGCGTCGTGACCAGCCAAAGGTCAGGACGCTTCGAGAAGGCTTCGCGCACAAACGCACACCCTGTAAAACGCTGTGTAGAACGCCGGGTGATACCATTGGTATTCTGCACATTGGGCTTGATAATATGCTGCACCATCACTTATGGAAATTGCACAATAATTGCCGGGTAATTGCTAAGGCACTTGCCGTGCCCTTCTATTAAAAATGCGTCGTCATCGCGGAACTCTCATTACTCACGCAGAACTGCATAAAATGCATGCATGATTTTAACAATGTGGATAAAGAAACCCTCGACATACCATCAAGGAACGACACATCGGGTTTTTGTTTCTTCAATGAATGCGTGATTGCAGCTTCACAAGCCGAGACGACTTTCTATGCAAAAGACAGCCTTAATCACCGCGGCAGAGAGCTGTCACGTATCAATCGATTTGTTCATTGGGTATTTGGATAACGGAGAGGAGCACACACGGACTGTCATAGCCCAGAGGCCAGGGTGTGATGGCGATATGGTAAAGCACCCATGAGGACGACAAACCGACGGAGCGACAGTAAGAGGAGTACACACGGGCTGTCATAGCCTAGAGGCCAGGGTATAATGGTGATATGGTAAAGCACCCATGAGGACGACAAACCGACGGAGCGACAGTAAGAGGAGTACACACGGGCTGTCATAGCCTAGAGGCCAGGGTATAATGGTGATATGGTAAAGCATCCATGAGGACGACAAACCGACGGAGCGGTGGTAAAAGGAGTACACACGGGCTGTCATAGTCCAGAGGCCAAGGTATAATGGTGATATGGTAAAGCATCCATGAGGACGACAAGCCGACGAAGCGATGGTAAAAGGAGCATGCTGTGTGTACGTCTGTCAACGAATCGCGTTCTGTAGCAAATGCGGAAGCTACACAAAGGGCTTTGAACATACAAGTGCTGCAGGCTGATAAAGCTCACGCTGAATATCTCTCACTTCAAACTGATCTATTCTTGTTTGTCTTGTGCTGTCGTGTTCATGAATAAAGTGCCTCTTATTTTAGGACTTATGTCATCGCTACGATCACTGGAGTCTCAACCACTCACGCTGCTGGCACTTGTAAAAAATGTTGCACTAGTAGTCTTCCCATGAATGATGGAGCCTTTTGGGAAATTCGGCTATCTGCTATTGAGTCAAAGCGATACCATTCATGTCAGGGACAACCATGGCTTCTACCAAGGCGTAGTTCATCAGACCAACCACAAAAGACGTCTAGCATGGCGACGACTTTTCCTGCCGGTCGTCTTAAGGAGCCCTCTTGTGGCGAGCGATCGTTGCGAACATTAAACTGCTTTGATGGCTAAAGTGATGGATTTACGCCGACTGACGGGGAACGATTTTGTGACAACACAGAAGTTACTGGTCATGCAGCAGATGCGGCTAATGGACAATCAGGATGGCCAACTAATGCTGCCATGATGACGCCCTTCGGCGACTTTTTCGCGGTACAGGGGTGCCAGGGGTTACCTGCTCGATGTTGAAATTAGGCACCCCAACCCCCCGACCTTCAGCGGTTCCGCCACCCACGCCAGCATGAGGGGCGGAGCAAAATGGAGTGGGACCTGCCACTGGCTACGTATGGGGTGCTCAAGACAAAAGCAGGGAGGTAGCCATTGCACGTGTGGAGTTTCCAGGAGCGTTATAAGTTGCTTGTTGTCGTCGACCTGCCACTTCAGATCAAACGAATGCACGTCACGATGTGCGCATGTAAGGAGCTTGTGTACATTTGAAAAATATATTCATCTGCAAACATTCTGTGATTGAATTACAGCGGATAATGCAAGATTAACTGAGAACATCCCGTAGTTTTTCATCACATTTTCGTCACATGGTACTAAATGTCAGTCTTCAAACACGACTGCGAGACCGCGACCCTGTCTGGTAAAGCTGTGCCACCGGGACGTAAAATATTTGGCACCGTTACTTTGAACGGTGAACGTGACTTAGACGTCGAGCATTGTGGGTC